TATACATCTCCATCCCTGGTGAAGTAAGTGATGCCGTGGCCACCCTTTCGTGGTGCCTGGATGGGGAACAACAGGCTTCAGCTGAACCCTGGTAAGACAGAGTGGTTATGGGTTGGAGGATCCTCTGTATCTGGAAGTTTACCATCTTTGGTTCTGGATGGGGTCACACTACCCCAGACAGACCCGGTGCGTAATCTGGGGGTCCTCCTGGACTCACGACTCCTGCTTAAAGAGCAGGTGGCAGTTGTGGCCAGGAGGGCCTTTGCACAACTTCGTGTTGTGCGCCAGTTATGCCCTTTCCTGGATTGGGAGTCCCTCCAGTCAGTCACTCATGCCCTGGTCATCTCCATATAGACTATTGCAAAGTGGTCTACATGGGGCTACCTTTGAAAAGTATCCAGAAGCTTCAGCTGGTTCAAAATGCAGTCGCATGGGCAATTTTAGGTGCCCCAAAGATGGCACATGTTACACCGTTGCTGTGCGAGCTGCATTGGGTCCCAGTTTGCTTCCGGGTCCAATTCAAGGTGTTGGTTATCCCCTTCAAAGCCCTGCATGGCATGGGACCAGGTTACCTGAGGGACCATCTCACCCCCATTATATCCACCTGTCCCACCTGGTCAGGCAGGGAAGGTATGCTGTGGACCCCGTCGATAAAAGAAAGTCGACTGGCGGGGTCCAGAAAGAGACCCTTCTGTGCCGTGGCCCCCGCCCTATGGAATGCCCTCCCCCCAGAGGTGAGGCAGCCCCCAACTCTCTTGTCCTTCCAGGAAGCAGTCAAGGCCTGGCTCTGCCAGCTGGCATGGCGAGAAAAGGGGCAACCAACCCTGGGGGTGGCTGGCACCTTGAAGATGCTCCCATATATTAACATCTTATTTATCGCCAGCATCTTGGAAGATACTATTATTTATGTCTGTGTTTGGTTTTACTGTATTTTTATACTGTTTTTATTGTATTTTAATTAATATTTATTTGTTGTTTTATTGTAAACCACCCGGAGTCACTTCCTCATGAGATGGGCAGTGTCTAAATTTGAAATATAAATAAATAAAATAAATAAATAAGTACAAGTAGAATCTTTCCTATAAAGAAGAATTAACTGAGTCCTTTCAATTTTACATGGAGCACATCCTCCCCACCCCAACCCCAGCATTGCTGTGCGGTTTTGTTGCTGTTGATGCTGCATCGCGGTTAAGCATAAAGAACTCACGATTTGAAGTGAGTTTCTGATCCTGAAGCAAGGGAACAACTGATTTGGTTTAAACTATAAGTAAACTAAGTGCCTAGCCTCACTTTACCATTAACGAAATTGCTTTTCTTTGGCTCTCCTCTCCCTTTAGCTATTTCTTTGTGTCTTGCCTCTCTTCAAAATGGTGCTCAAGGCAGTGACAAAAATGAAATAGAAACACATATAATAAAACCTTAAAATGGAACCCTACAATAGCAGCGTAGGTTAAATAGTGGTGAAATCAGTAAAAACAGTGGGCAATAATCAGTTTCAGAATATTGATGAGAGAACTAACAAGCCAAAATCGGGAGGTCCCCAGAGAGGGAACTTGCAGAGCCAGACTGCTGTCTCCAAAAACATGTTTTTTTTGCTACGTCTTCCCCTCCTCACTGAAACCACAGGCAGATTTCTCTCGGGTGAGAGTTTCTGAACTCTAAATATCATTTCCCACCATTGTAAGGGGAGGGTCTGATGGGTTTCTGTCTAAATTAATTCACCTTTTCATTGCTACCTGGTAGAAGCTGTGGTAATGCCATAAGTATCATGACATCGTTGCGCAAATGCAGCAGATGGCATAACGTGCGTCATTTGCACAGTGACACAGGATGTGTGCCATCATTCTCTCCAACGCTGACACGCTTGACTACTTTGCTGACATCTCCTACTCTGCCCCTTCTTGCATTCTGTCTGGAAATAAACAGCCAGAGCACCAAAACGATCAAGCCCCATCCAGCTGGGCAAGGTAGAAGAAAGCAAGATGACATAGACTTCAGGAAGGTGTCTTAAATGTGAATGTTAGAGATAAATACAGAATCTTGGAAGTTGCGAATGGAATTGCTAACCCTCAGTTGTTAATCAGCTCATTCAGGTGGAGACTCTTGGAAGGTTTCTTCCCAGGTTTCTTGCCACCTGGACTTAGTCCCCATTTTTGAGAATAGCTTATCTTGCCTTCCGTTACTCTTCCAGCCTCCCCACAATCTCGGTCTTTACGCATGCAGTGGGGAGGATCTTAGGGTGAGACTTAGCGGTCCCGGGCCTTTTCACTTGCGCTCTCAGAAACGGAAGGCTTTTGAGTAGGGCTTTTTCTGGAACGAATGGGCTGACTCTTCTCTGTTGCTGACACACTCATGTTCCTGATGGATAAATGGGCTGTTCTGTGCATTGTTACAGCAGCTCAGACAGTTCACCATGAAATCTCCCAATTGATTTGACCATCCTTGTTTGCATTGTATTACCAGGCTGTAATCTAATGCATTGAGTATGGTAATAATTAACCACATTGTCTTGCTTGGCTGAGGCTCAGGGTTAATGAACTCGCCAGGGCTTCCCGCCTTGGCGTTGCTCCTTTATGGAATTTTATTTCCCAGTTTTCCTCTGACCCTTTGTTGTTGGCTGCAGAGGACCTTTCTCCACAGCTGGGGAGATTGGCACCCTGTGCTCCTGGAGAAGACAGGGGTCTTTCAGGTTACAGGTGCCTGGATGCCAGTCCCAGGCGTCCATCTGTGGGCACTGAAGAGAGCTGAAGGGAATCCAGCTGAGCCCAAAGAGCAGAGCTTCAGGCATTGACTGCCTGGTCCCAGCAAGAGGGGACTGCATCAGGGTGAGCTGGAGGGAATGGCAGGGAGGGGCCCCTTGCACAGACCCTTACCTGGTTCATGGCTTCATACAAGGGCACCCCAGTTGTCTTTGGGAGCAGCAGTTCCCAGACTAAGTGCCAAGGCAGGTGGCATCGTCAAGTTGTTGGTGGGTTTTCCACAAGCCTCTAAAGACGGGGAGGGTTTTTTGGAGGACCTTCCCCTGATGTGAGGAGTTGTTGCCGTCTTTCTTTTTCTTTCTATTTTTGTAGGGTTGTTGTATTTTTAATGTTTACATAGGGTTTGTTTTATATTTGTATGCCGCTGAGATTGTTTTGGATTGCAGCGGCATACGAACACGTTTAATATAAAATAATTAAATGAATGTTGAGGTGGCTGCTGGTGCAGCCATCAGTCCAGCCTCTTCGGAATAAGGACCCCTCCCCTTTCCACCACCATCTTTGTTCCTTTCTGCCAGGCTATCAGGTGCTGCTCTTGTCCTGAAGCCAGGAATATTTTGGGTTGAAAAGAGCTTTCTGGAGAGTCGGGGTCTTGCTCTGCTCTGCTGTCTCTTGTTCTGGGTGCCACTTGAGAAAAAGTAGGGGTAGGAGTTGGATGCGTTTGGGGGGTGAAAAAAATTGCTGGGCCCTCCAGAGTTTCTTTTAAAACCCCACTTGGGAACTCATCTCAATTATTTCTAGGCTTCTAAAATAGTGAATGTAGTCAAACTATACTGGATCCCCCACTCCCACGTTTTCTACAGCGCCACTCACTTTCAACACACAGTGTCTAATTACATTTACATAATTTCCTCTTCCCAAATTCCCTTCCATATTTTGAGCCTGATAGAATCCACCCCCCCCCCCCCCAAATGCTGCTTGCATGGAAGGAAGCCTTCATAGATCAAAATCTCTCTCGCTGATTTTTTTCCGATTTCTTTCACCTGCAGAATCTGAAAACCTGGATTATAGGCTGGGAGCGATTCATTCCCTGATTTATAAACTCCCTGACAAGAACCGAGAAATGTCCGAACTCCTCATCAGACATCTGGTCCAGTAAGTGGAGGTTGATGTTAAGAGATCTGATACCTGGGAAAAGAGTTCGTGTTGAGCTTTGGGCTCATTTTCCGTGGGGGTGGAGAGGAGGAGGAGCATGTAATGTCCAAGTGGCTAAGTGAGTGCACTTAGAAGTTATTCCAGGAATAAGCAGACATTAAATTAATGTGCTTTGTTTTCCAAAGGAGAAGGAAAAAGCACATTGAAATCAGAGATGTCATGAACATTCACATTTCAATTTGGGGGCTCAGCAGAGTGGCTTTGGCACTGGTGATATTTGTGGAGGCCAAGCCCCCTTTTTGTGGGGCTGTTTCTTTATCCTTTCTTTGTTTTCTGCTCTTTCTAGACGGGTCATTTCAGCCAGTCAGTGGCCACAGTGTGCAGGGAGTTCTTGCTGGACCACCTTACTCTCCGTATGTTGCTAAGCTCCAACCCCTGTGGGCTGGGATTGCTGGGAATTGTAGTCTCACAACTTCTGGAAGGCCTAAGGTTCCCACAGCGAGTCATACAGTGATGTGTCTCAGTTCAAGAAGAGCCCCAAGGGGACAAATATTTTAAGTACTTCTGAAACACAGTTGCAAGCGGCGCAGAAAAGTATTTTTACAAAGCCAGCAGGGCATTGTGGGTTATTAGAAGAAATAGTTGTGGTTGCTCAGAGATATAGTGGGGACGTGTGCCCCTTTTACCTATTAAAAAAAAGCTAATATTAAGCTGTCACTGTTCAGCTTCTAGCCAATTCCTCATTAACCAAGAAGCAAGAAAATATCTGCTGGCGCTGAGTTTATTTAAAGAAATAAGTGCTTACATGGCACTGGAGAAGAAGAAAAAAGTTCCAGAGAGCAGAACTTGGGGGAAAAACATTAACAGAGCATATTGGCCTCCTTGGTTGCCAGTAACAGTCCCAGAAGAAGCAGGAGATCTCCCAGTGATGCTCCAGACCTCCAAGGAGGGGGAAACAACAGTTGGTACAACTGTCAGCAGGGAGGAGGTCAGTGGCTTCCTGATAGGACAGGCTGGCTTCTTCCTTGTGGGGGTTCTTCCCAGGCCCCCTCCCTGACAAAATTTGCATTGTGAAAGAGGCTTCCTTGCTGTGTGCATTGGTTAACTTCTCAGTGATCTGCAGATTCACCTTTGCCTTTCTGTGATTCAGCTACAGATGCAAGCAAACAGTGACCCTGCTTCAGGGCGTTCTTTAACAGAAACTAATCTGCATCCTTGATTGGCTCTGGCGATCAGATTCCTCCCTAAACTTGCCTAAGAAAGATCAGAGGAAGAGGGAGAAGTCCTGAACTCTTTGTCAAGAAATGCTGAAGACCACAAGGACATCTCAGCCCAAGAACGACATGGCTTGGCCTAGCCTGGCCAAGTTTGGCCCAGAAATGTATCTCTCTTCCACCTTACACCATAAAAGATCCAGCCCTTGGACTGAAGAACATTCTCACCCTCTGTCAACCAAGTCCATCCTCTCTCCCTTGTGGATCTTGCATATCCAAGATGTGGGGCCATGGTTTAACTGTGATTCTTTGAAGAAACCACAATTGGCTTGGCTCTCTCATAACATTACGCGTGGTTAAGACCTACCTAATCTGACTCGCTGCACTGGGCTGAGCCAAAACTTTGCAAATTACATGCAATCCTAGCTATTCTCTAACTGCCCACAGCACAGCTTTACAACACATTTCCTGGACAACTAGTTTGCCTATCTGTTTAGCCAAGATTTCTTTGAGGGGCTTCTTTTCTGACCTAGCTTCTTTTGGCGCTCTCTGTAAGTGTTTCTTCTGCTGGATTTGGGAATGGAAGGGAGGTTCAGCCCTCATCTGCGAACCCTCCGGGGTTCTGTGATCGCTCAGCAATTAGAGGCTCTGATTTCTTTGGTACAGACTAGTATGAGGACCTGTGGAGGATTTACATTTGGCATTCCTTCAAAATGCCTCATGTTGCTCCTCTCTTGGAAAAAGGTGCTAGTTTTCAGTTGTGCTTTATTTATGGCTGTGTTTTGCATCACGCGGCCTTCTTGCTTTCATCAAGGTGGGGTGCAGGTGTGAGACTGAAGCCTCACGTGGCCAACAGGAATTATTCAGAAGCTGTGACTTGACACCATGCCTGATTCCAGACTACCTGTGATAAACATTTGCAACAGATGAGGTTGTTGAAATTCTAGCAAGGCCTGAAGAAGGTGTGGGAGCCCCTCTTTAGAAAAGTTAGTTTTAGAAAAAGCATTTTCTGCTCAAATAAAGTCCTAGGCTGACTGCTTGCTGGAGGAAACTGTGTTGCTTTTGGCTGGTCGGGCTTTCGTCTTGGCACCTTGGACGGTGCTCTCCAACTCCAGCATGTCTCTGGATGGATTCTTTTGCCCTTGGCCTCTTTGCTCCCAGACTGGTTGGCCAGGAGCGGAGCTCTGAGATATTGGGCCACGGAGCCTCTCCTGGCAATGGAGCCACCTGGAGCTTTGGGTCCCGCTGGGTCCACCGAGGAGCCCGACTGGTGCACTCTGGGGAATGGCCATCTCAGGGTCAGCCCGCCTGTGCTCCCCAGGTAAACTCAGGCCAACTGGTCACTCTGTTCTGGGTTGCCTCCATTTTCCCTTTCTCTTCTGTTATCTGCCTAATCCCAGACGAAATAACCCGTGGCTAAAAAGCCCATGAAAAGTGTAACCGAACAGCTGAAGCCAAATGTAAAAAGAGAAGGGCGTTAATCGCAGATGTAAATGCGCCATCCGCTTTCTTCAAGGGCTCTGAACTTTGTGCTCTCTGAAGGGTTTCCAGATGGCTGGTGGGGGGAGAGAACCTCTCCCCTGCTCCACGATGTTCCAGGATGCCTGGCAGGGAATGAGGTGCTTGGGCATGTCATTCAGACCCGGGCAGATGCCGTATACTGCCAGGTCGCCCACCACAAAAACCTGTGAAGCTTCACAAACCCCCAGTGACACCTTGCATAGAAAAGGAGCCTCTTCAGCCTCCTCCTGCTGATTCTCCAGCTCTCTGCTGCTTCCAACAACATGATCAAGATCCTTCTTTCCTCATAAATGGCTTAGTAGGAATAGAGCTGGATGGGAGACCACCAGGAAACCTCACATCTGTAGGTTAGATGGGAAATCAGTAGAAACATCCCAGGAGAGGCAGTGGCAAACCACTTCCACGTTCCTGCTATGGAAGTGGCCCAGGTGTGTCTTTGTAGTCCCCAGACACTGAGCCTGGCTCAAAGGAGATTTTACCTTTACCAGCTTTGTCCTATTTCTAGTTGGCACTCATAATCCTAAACATTTTATTTTAAATAGGTTCTTTGAAATCTCTCTTTGCGTCTATTGCTTTTATATTCTAAACTGTATTTTTTATTTTCTGGGTCAAGGGTGATATTCTTCTCTTGCCATAGTCAAAGACCATAATGAAACCCTTTCTTTCTTGGGGGAAGGAAGCTGATGGCAGGGACGGGGCAGGGCAGGGCAGGGCAGGGAAGCCCTTTTCAAGGAGGTCTCAGCCAGCCCTGACCTCCCGCAAGCGGGATAGCAGACGCCATCCGATTACGCCCTGATCCTCTCTCCTAGCTTTATTTGCGGAGCATTTTGTAACTGGCTCTTGTTTCAGAACGTTGTAATGTTTTGAATTTAAGGGGAAATGAAAAGCCACAGGAGGGAAAATGATGGCGCTCCCCTTTCTCTATCCTCTTTGACGTTCCTGCACATCCAGAGCCGAAGGGGGTGGGGAGCCAAAAAGGAAAACGGTGCTCGCAACTGCCATCTTCCTTGTTTCGCAGCACGTGCGTGTGCAAACAGCACACACACACATACACACACACACCAGCAGCTGCAGCTGCTTACAACTGCTACATTTCTCAAATAAGAGAGAATGTTTAGTGTCCCAGATAAACGGAGCCTTGATGACATAGATCACTTCAGAATATTTGTGTGTTTATATGTGGGCTGACCGTGACTCCGCTGAAAGGGCTGGCTGGAGCGCTCCGTGGTCAGATATCAAGGCTGCTGCGATTCTGCATCCCAGATCGCCTGTCCTGATGCAGCAAAGGGTGCCTTGGCTCTGAGTGCATCTTTGTGTTTAAAAAGAGTCACTTACAGTTGGCTTCAGCTGCAGCGGAAAATATTTCCTGTTTGTGTACACTTACATGGAAGAAATTAAAATGGCTGAATTAATTTCCTCCGGACAACATGGAGTGGTCATCTAAGACCCGGCCAGGTTCTGCTGGCTTGGTGGGTGTTTGTTCTCTCCTGGGGCCCTCCAAATCAACTGCTCCAGAAAAGCAGCTTTTGCTTTGTCCTCCGTCCACTGGCCAGGGCAGTGGGGAGACCAAGAGTTGGGGATTTCCACTGGTATCCTGTTCAGTTTGTTGGGGGCAGTACCGGGTCCTACTGCAAGGCTCGAGTTCCCAGTATGCCTGTTTTCTGCCTCACATGCCTTCCCTTTGCTGAATCTCTCTCTTGGTTCTCTTCCTCCTGACAGTGTGTGTGAACACAGCAAGGAGAATCTCATGTCTCCATCCAACATGGGAGTGATCTTCGGCCCCACCCTCATGCGTGCGCAAGAGGACACGGTTGCAGCAATGATGAATATTAAATTCCAGAACATTGTGGTGGAGATTCTCATTGAGCACTTTAACAAGGTACAGCAGCTCCTGGCTGGCTTTTTCCAGACTCTTTCTCAGTGATGCTTGCAAGGCCTATCGAGAACCCAAATAGGATTAGGAAAAGACAAATAACCCCTGGGAAATTTGAGCTAGTAGAAATGGTTCCAGAGCCAGAGGGGAGCAGGCTGCATTTGGGGAAGGGAGAGGTGGCCAGCAGACCCAACTTGAAAGGAACTTGGAGAAGCCGTCAGCTGAAGACAAGGAGGCTGATGTGTACAGCTGGAAGCAGGGCTTGGTCCATAGGGAAACTGAGTCATTTCTTTTTTGCAAGCAGTGTCAGCCTTGCCAGAATACTTCCACGATGCATCCAGATGCTGTCTAAAGGAACCCTTCCCCAATATATTTTTTTCAAAAGGAAAGGCCTGGGAGACTTTGGCCTTTCTTATATTTCTATTTTATGCACCAGCTGGGGCAGTAGTTGTACCTCACCCAGCAAATGTTTCCAGTCCCTCCTGAACTTCTCCATTTGAGCGTTGCATATCGTGTGAATGCAGCTGCCACATTATTTGACTGGCACTACTGAGTCAGGCCACTGGCCTGTCTGAACCAGCAGTATCTGATCCAGTTGGTAGCAACTCTGTAAGCAGTGATCATGGGGAGGGGGAATTTTCAAAATGTCATTCAAAGATGACCATATATGTGCTTGCAACGTGCAAGTTTTCAGCTCAGCAATCCCCCCTTTTAAACTAACACACTCATTTTAATTAATTTCCTGCTGAAAACAGCCATAATACTGAGGTTTTTAAACATCTTGACAGGGTGCTTTCAGGAGACCTTCAGAGGCTGAGCAGCCACTGCTGCCCGGGATCCTCCACCCTGTTCGGAGGCCTTAGGCATGGATCAGGGAGCCAGAAACCTCGGACTGCTCTTGCCCTCCTGGGTTTCTTGCTATGCCTCTGGCCTGCCCTTCCTGGCACGGTGTTTCATGTGGGTTGGAGTTTTTTAAGTTACGGCCGTGGAACGATACTCTCCTATCCAGAACCAGGTTGACTTACAACCGATGAGACTTTTACTCTGTCTTAGCTAAACTGCATAGTTTTATTAATATTAAACTGCATGGTGTTTTATCAGTATTAGAAAGCATAATATGAAAAGACTGTTGGCTTTAGTAGGTAATTATGACTATTATGTACATAATATTTGCATTATATTTTAGTTGTCTCTAAATAAAGAAAAGGGCAGAAGTGAGGGTTGGCTGTTATGGTGTAAAATATCTTTTTTTTTTTTCCAAATGAAGAAATTTCCTGATTTGATTATAAGAGAATGAAGACTCATAATTTGAGATTTGCAGAGATTCACTGGTTGAATTAATATGAAAGCAAAAACACAGGTTCACCCAGATGAACTTGTGAGTTACTTTGGATTGTCATTTCTTGAAGATGGGTGGCTTGCTTACTTCCTAAATCCCAGCGCCATGACAATAGGTCAACGTAATGTAGGGTTTTAGTGTACACTTGTTTTAATATTATCTTAATAAGCCTGAGTTTAGCTATTTCCTTCTGTGGTTTCAGCCTCAGACCATCCTCTTTCTTCCCCCTCCCCCTTGGGTACTTTCGACAGTATCTCCACAGATTTAGGAAACTCATCCATAGTTTTGTTCTCATTTGTTTGGCTCTAACAAAGGACCTCCCCAAGCATATAGATATTTTCCTATAGACTAGCACAACTGCCTTGTTTCATTTCTGGTTCTTCATTTAAAAGCATGTGTTCCTGTCAGAAACAGGAAAGCTGATTTGCGTTATTCCTAATTCAAAACCAGACATTTATTTCAGATTTTTGGACCTCTGGAAATATGGAACGAGCCAGGAGACAGACAGCTGGTCTGCTGGGATTGTCAGTTGCAGTCCTGGTTTTAAAGAGGGAGGCTGAAGTTAAGCTGTAACTGGAAGTGGCGATGGGATCCAAAGACCATAAATGTTGGGATGACACAATTTTCCACTGAATTAAAATAGCTCCAAGACAGCTATAATAGCAAAGTGTTTTATGTTGAAACAAGAAGCCCAAGCTTTGGCTTCAGGTAGGTTTTCCATGATTTCTCTAAGCTTCACACCAGGAGATTCTTGCCAGCAGAGGGGAAGAGAATCATGCTTCTGCTGCTCTCTCTGATCCCCGGAATGAGACCTTTTAATTAAAAGTAAGACTATGTCTTCTTGGCCTTTAATTTCTGCTATGATAAGGTTAAGCTAGTAACATTTTATTAGGCTTGGTGATTGTTAAATGTAGTCCTGATGGTGATGATGTTTCAGTTTGCACATCAGCAAACACTCCAAATGAATTTTTAAGCAGGGATGATATATAATTTGTATGTGAATTATGAAGACTCAAAGGACTGGGGAAAATGTTCGCTGGTATGGATAATTATTGCTCTGGCAGCTTTAATCATGTGCACTAAAATTAAAATTAAAAAGCTAATCCCACGGGAAACAGTGTGTGGTATTACACAGACCCTGCCCTGGAAAGTGGAGACTAGATCAATATCGCCTCTCTTATGAATCATATAAATATGACTTCTAATGTAAAAATGACTTTGTGGTGCAAATTCAAAGGGGGTGGGAGGAAAACCTGAATGGTGGCAACTTGTCAGCCTGGATTTCAGGATGAAAAAGTCTCAGCTATTTGAATTTGTGATCTTGGTTGGTTTTGATTCTCATTGGTATCCAAGATATTCTGTGTAATAAACACATTAGATAGTCTAGTCTAGTCTAGTCATATATAGATATAATCTAGCCTAGCCTAGCCTAGGTAATAAACACATTAGAATTTCACCTACGGAATTTTCTAGTTTGATAAATAGCACTATTTCTTGCCCCCTGTGATGGAATGGAATTATGAAGGCCACACTCAGGGAGGGAAACATCCTCTTTCGTCTCCTG